GAACGCCGGGGGGGTGGGGGGGGGGGGGGGGGGGACGTCTCCTGTCTGACTCTTCACATCTTTACTGCAGAATCCTGAGTGATCTTTCCAAAAAAACATCCTTGCCAGCCACCGTCCAATCTTAAAGGATAAGTGCACTTTAAAACAAAGCGCATGTATCCGTAGAGCCCCGAGCCCCTGACCTAAGATGACTCCTCCTCTCCCTCCATGGGTGCTTACTTGCCTTGATCCAATGGTCAAAGGTCTCCAGTGCTTATAATTACCACCACAAATCTTCACTGCCCTGGTCACCCCTGTGGATCACAGCCCCATAGACTTCTATGGAAACTATCTCAGGTGGTCACCGCAAATCTCCACTGCCCTGGCCATGTCTGTGCATTAAAGCCCCACCGATTTCTATGGTTCTATGGGACCCTCTCTGATCATCACCGAAAATCTTCACTGCCCTGGTCACCCCTGTGGATTACAGCCCCATAGACTTCTATGGAAACTATCTCAGATGGTCACCGCAAATCTCCACTGCCTTGGCCATGTCTGTGCATTACAGCCCCACCGATTTCTATGGTTCTATGGGACCCTCTCTGATCATCACCGAAAATCTTCACTGCCCTGGTCACCCCTGTGGATCACAGCCCCATAGACTTCTATGGAAACTATCTCAGATGGTCACCGCAAATCTCCACTGCCTTAGCCATGTCTGTGCATTACAACCCCACCGATTTCTACAGGATCATCTATGATCATCACTGCAAATCTTCACTGCCCTGGGCATGCCTGTGCCTTACAGCCCCATAGACTTCTATGGGACCATCTACGATTGACATTGCAAACCTTCACTGTCCTGACCACGTATGTACATTACAGCCCCCTAGACTTCTATGGCACTTTCTATGGTTGTCACTGCAAATCTTCAATGCCCTGGTCACGTCTGGGCATTACAGCCCCATACCATAGACTTCTATGGGACCCTCTCAGATCCTTGACATAAATGTTCACTGCCCTGGCCGTGTGCCTGTTCGTTACAGCCACATAGACTTCTATAGGACCGTCTTCAATCGTTGCCACAATGGAGCAATCCAAATCGGATAAGTATTGTGGACTGAAGATTATTCCCGGGGAAGAACTGAGGTGACGGGGCCACAAAATGAGTGATATTGTTATACAGTCACATTGTTCAGCAACAACAACAACAACACGGATCCCCCCCCCCCCTCTCTCTCTCTCTCTCTCTCCCTCCCTCTCTCCTCTCTCTCTCTCTCTCTGTCACTCTGTGTCCTATTTCTTTCTTTCATTCTTTTCTTTCCTTTTTTATCTTTTGCTTTTTTCCTTTTTTTTATTTTCTCCCCATAGCTTTGCCCATCTCTCACCCGATACCTATTTTCCTTCTCTCCTCTTTCCTTCTCTCTTTCTTTTTTTCTTCCCTTTTCTTTCATTGTTTGTTTTCTTACTTTTCTTTCGATTTCCTTTTTTCTTTTGCTTTCTTACTTTCTCCTTTCTTTTATTTTTCTCCCCCGTTTCTCTCTCTATCTCCCCATGATTATTTTCCTTCTTTTCTCTTCCCCTTTATTTCCTTTTCTTTCTTTGTTTCTCCTTTTCTCTTTCTTTTCTTTCCTTTTGCTTTATTTCTTCTTTATATTATTTTCTACCCATTTCTCCCCTTTCCCCATCTCTCTCCCAATGCTTATTTTGCTTCTCTCCTTTTCCTTTCTTTCTTTCTTTCTTTCTTTCTTTCTTTCTTTCTTTCCCTCTCTCTCTCTCTCTCTCTCTCTCTCTCTCTCTCTCTCTCTCTCTATATCTCCCTCTCTC